CGGTTTTTTGTTTTTTTTTGATATTGGAGTCCGTAACCCCACTCGTTCCTCGTGGATCCTCGAATGAGAGCATGTGTTCATGATGGAACACGCATGCATGCAGGCATGCAATCTAAGCATTTTTGGGCTCTCTGCTTTCTGAATAAAGACGTATTCAGGCAATTGACCCTTGTGCAGTTAACACACGTGCTTTATTATAGAAAGAGAACTGTAGTCACGTCTTTCTCCTTTGTTGTCGCTCCTCCGCGTGCTTGGTGCAGTGTCGGTAATGATGTGCCCTGCTGCTGATATCATGGTGACAAATGACGGGCCGCCCTGCGGTTTGATGCTCATAAGCCTGCCAGAAGCCGAAAGGTCAGAGGGGGATTCGAAGGGTAACAAAGCACTTTTAACAAGAGAAGATGGTGACTTTAGTATGTCCATATTTCCATTATGCTGCATTGGAATGAAACAGGACTCTCTTTCATTTCATACCGTTCCTCCTTCCTTGTATTTTCCTTGGCTGTCTAGCACCCTCCTGTATATGTTTATTCTCACAAAAGATTGCCTACCTCTGCAGATTTGCCACCTCTGACTTAAGCGAAGTTCGGTTCACATGCACGTTTCAAAAAGGAATAACAATGTGTGTGTGTTTTTCTTTTTCTTTTCTTCACCGCATTTACATATTTAGACTCGGTCTCTTTAGGAATCCGAGCACCCTAGTGTCAGCATTATTGGACAAGTTTCTAAAATAAGTAGTGCATCGATATGTCTGAGCACCGAAAACTAAGTTTATTCAAATTGCATTAGAAACAGAGCTGTGGACCATCTGTTGCACCACTGCTAAGAAACAGCATGCAAACTCCCCTGTCTCTCTTCATGTTTAGTGCATCCATTTGAATTGTCAGTTTGTTGTGGTCCTTTTCATCTCTTTCACTTTTCTCTTTTTATTTGTCAGCAGAATCCGATCATCAAGTGGCACTTGCAACCACATATAAATTGGCAATATTATATTTGAATTTCCTTGCATTATTCCTATTGCTTCCATGTTAAAATAAGCAATGGCTCTTGCTGATGAGTTTGATTGGTACCCGCTTAAGCTTCTGGTCGTGGTGTTCAGACGGTGTCAAGGGGGTGGTAATGTTGGTGAGGGTTATGAAAAGTTAATCTTTGCCATACTCTGTCTCTCTGTGATCATTGCCTCTGGAGCAGGCATGCCTCGGTGCCCAGCTTGCAGGATCATTTGCGGGGGAAATGAGGTTTGAAATAGTTCTAGTGATTCCACTGGCAGAATCCTATTTTTGAGTATGACATATGACTGCTGTGCCATTTACGTATACTGTGACACAATCTGGTTAGGTTTATTGAGGGAGGCTTACGTTGGAATGCTTATGTTAATGTCAGTAGCCTATGATGTGTGCCTTATAATTGTCATGGTGGTCTTTTTATTTGTTTGGTTGACCATGAATTAAATCAGTGTCATATTCAGTGCTGTGTACCATGTTTCTCTCTCTCTTCCTACCCACAATGCTGTGATGACCAGGCCAAGCTCACATAATGCAGCGTGTTACTTGGAAACGAATCATTCTCAGTTTCAATAAAGCCTATAAACGTTTGTTTAAAGGAGTAGTTCACTTTAAAAAAAAAAAACTAAAAACTTTTGCTGATAATTTACTCACCCCCATTTCATCCAAGATATTCATGTCATTCTTTCTTCAGTCGAAAAGAAATTAAGGTTTTTGATGAAAACATTCCGGGATTTTTCTCCATATAATGCACTTTACTGGTAACCAAACGGTTCAAGGTCCAAAAGACAGTTTCAGTGCAGACTGCAAACTGTTCAAAGAGCTTTAAACGATTCCAGACGATGAATAAGTGTCTTATCAAGCGAAAAGATCAGTCATTTAAAAAAAAATAAAATAAAATAACAAAGTTGTATAAGCTCAAATGGTCGCGTTGCTCTGTTCTGTGATGCGCGGTCGTGATTCTCCTGTTCGAACTCGTTCATCAAAATGAACGAATCTTTTTTCGTGTCATTTGGTTCATTCAAAGAACGAAATGAACGAATTGACTCGGGAAAAGATTCGTTCATTTTGATGAACAAGTTCGAACATGAGAGTCACGAACGAACCGTTTGGACTGTTTGGTTACCAGTAAAGTGCATTATATGGAGAAAAATCCTGGAATGTTTTCATCAAAAACCTTAATTTCTTTTCGACTGAAGAAAAAAAGACATGGACATCTTGGATGACATGGGGGGTGAGTTAAATGAACTAGTCTTTTAATCTTTTTTCAAAACATTCAGATGAGGCTTTGTTCAACCAGCGTCCAAAGTTTGTCTTTACGAACGTGTGCTTCTTTTTAAGCAATTTTACAATTATCCATCCTGCTTACCACCACCTCTATTCAAATTCTGAATTTGAACTGAAATTCAAAAGGCACCTTGAATTCTTGTTTGTGTCACAGCAAGAACTATCAAACTATAGACAAATATTGAAATGGGCAAAACAATATTCCAAGATGTGAATAAAAAAAAAAAAACTGTTTTGGTTTTAGAGAGAATAAAAAGAAAAATCCATCAATCCATCTTCTCTTTAAACTTTTTCCACATTTTCTAGCTCATTTAATGTCTTCCTTGTGATTGTGCAAGGCTTTGGCTGTAAAACTCACTCTCAGTAATTGACTTTCCAGGTTTTATTACCTGAGGAGTTTTCCTTCTCTGTCGCAGCGTAGATGCAAGGCCGCAGACACACAGTCAGGAACCTCATATTTTACTTAGTCTTTTTTTTTTAAATTCTTTCGTCGTCACCTGTGGGGTATCGCTCAGATCCCTGAATGAAATTAAATGGATTATTTATTTATTTTTCAGTTTGCAGTGAAGTTAATCATGTGACTAAATTATGGGGTAAAAGAAAAGGACCATGCTACCTGTTATCAGTGGCATAAGTTATATCTCAGGAATACAATGACTTAGGTGGAACTCAATAAAAGAGTTAAAGCAAGGACAATTTCAAAGACAGCCCGTCTGATAACAAAAGAGCGCACCTGATAATGAATGAATGGCGAATGCTGGCATGCCTCTGAAGTACTAAGGGAAAGGAGGGGAACTAGATGGAGTGTGACTTACCGAGCGCTTGCCAGTGTGTTTTATGGCTAATTGAAGCATTTGTGGTAAAACAGCCATGAATGGCACCCTTTAGAATTAGAGTGGGTTAATATATTGTGATCCCACAATTAGCCCACGATTGTTAAGATCTGTTTAATTCGGTGGGGTCCATTAAGCGGAATGGGAAAGGTCCTTTCTATTTTTCTTCCCTTCTTACTCGAGGCCATTTCTCTTTGGAGCTGCCAGAGGCAATCGATGGCTGTGGACACGGCTCCAGGGGTTGCCAGGCAAATCTGACCACTCTGGCACTGGGCTGGATGTACTTTGCAAATGTTGGTCGCACTTTGAATTATGAGTCGGAATGGAGGACAAAGGTTATTGAGATAACCAATGTTGAAAGAGGAGTGCATGTTTTGGCAGAACGTTTGATTGCTGTATAAACCCTGGGGCACTCTCTGTCATTCTAGATAAAGTCTGAGCTAGAGTTCACACTTAACAAGTAGTTTTACCAACCACCAGTCCTTATTTGCTGCAATCTGAGAAAATTGTTTGCGTAAAGAAGATCCTCACATGTGATGAGCATCTATGGGAAGTCATCCGAATAACCAGGATTAAAATTAGCTGGATGAAAATGCTTATTGTTATTGCCGTCTGTTTTATTGGCTGCCTGGGTTTTTTTTTATGAAGTTGCAGAAGACAAATTGCGGGAGACAGCAAAAGCATAGCTCAAAGAAAGGACGTTATTAGCCAACCATTAAATGGCAGCAGGCTAAGTCACAGGCTGTGAATTTCTTTCTAGCTGCTTTACGTCAGAACTCAGGTGTGTCCCTGTGAATGTTTTGTTGCGCTGTTATCTAATCCAATGCAGAATTAGGAAACATGTCCCGAGGAGGGCATTATGAATTCAGCGAAGCCGGGCTTAGTATTTTCCTCCCTGTCAGTGCGCCAATCAAACGTTAGCACTATCAGCACTGAAATCTCTTAAATAGAGTGAGATAAGTGAAATGGCCTTGTTTTGGTGTCTCAAAAGCTGCTCTCGTGAGCACGGGGAGATGCTGGTGTGTAATCGTGGGAAACTATTAATAGAAAAGGGATCAAACGGGGTGATCGTTGCACATGGGACTGGAGGCTAAGCAATGCAGCGCTTCTATCTAAAGAGGACAGTCCCCCTGCAGCCACCACGATTGTGGCCGAACGCTATCAGCAAGCGATGCTAATCCTGTGGTGTGCATAAAAGGATTTGTTCTTGTTGGCCTGCATACGCCACATCCCCCAGCAATTTTTGGTGTTTATCTTTTGCAATTGCTAAGTCCCGTGGGTTTTGGTGCTGGAACTTCCAGCGCCTGTGACTTTTCCACAGCCACTGCTCTACAGATACACTACCCCTTCTGCGTTACCATCTGCAGAAGAGACAGAGACGGGAACATCAAAGACTGGAAGCGGCGTTTAGCATTTGATTCTGTAATCACACTTCATATGCTCCAAAAATATTGCATCTATTTCAGTTCACAATAAGGCTCCTTATCTATGGATTGCCAGCTTGAATTTTGTTGACGAGCCAGTTGAGACGTCTGAGTTAGCGATTGGAGGAACTTAACTTCCCTCTTTTTGTTTCTTACCTCTTTCTCGCTACTTCCCTGGGTATTTGCTGTGTGTCAGCTCAGTTAATGGGTTTCTTAGGGGAGATATTATTTTGGTCCAGTAAGCTGCATGTTTAATGTATGACTGACAGTGCTGACTCATGTGGCTTAGGCAATTTGTAGTTGAAAGAGATTTTGTTGTAAAAAAAAAAACGTCTCCATCCTCTATTAGCGATTATAGAGCACTGCTCCACTCAGTCTGAAAACAAAATGACTTCTCCAGACTAAAATGTCTTTTTTTTTCTCTTTCCCCTTTTCTTTTCGCCCCCCTTAAGAAGATAGATGAGGAAAATGAGGCCAACTTGCTGGCAGTGCTCACAGAAACCCTGGACAGTATCCCAGTGGACGAAGACGGTTTGCCTTCGTTCGAGGCCCTGGCAGATGGGGACGTGACCAATGCCAGTGATCAGAGCTGTCCTTCCACCCCCGATGGCTCGCCACGCACCCCAGAGCCAGAGGAGCCTTCCCTGGTAAGAGACGCTCCTCCCGTGCTTCCCGTGTGCCCAATCCTGTTTTGCCATGAAGCATGGCCCTCTCACTCTGTTTCCTTCCATTGGTCTTTCTTTGTCCCAAAGTGTTTCACTTTTCCTGACTCCCTCTGTCTGGTCTTCACTAGCACCAGATAAGGAGATGCTGCAGGCCTATCACCAAAAATGGGTAAAGACTCGCCAGACAACAGCTCTGGCAGCCTCCCATTGATGTCTGCACAGAACATAACCATAGCACTGTTGAAAAAGCAGATCAAAGTAGATCAGTGTTCTGGAGGTGTTAATTGCATTGTTCATTACTGCAAAAATAAACATGCGCAGCAATGTCAAGCTGAAGCGGTGAAATACATGCTGGAAGTAGTCTCTTATAATCTGCATTTTCTCTAATAAACCAGCAGGATACAGCAAAAGTTGAAAACCACATTGCATTTGTTTTGTATGTTAGCAGACTAATGCATATCACATCAGAATCTGATGAGTATCACAGAAAAAGCATTGCACCAGGTCTACCTTAAAAAAAGTTTAGGTTTGCATCACACATATAAAGTCATATATTGCATAAATGTTTTGTTTTCTTCATTTATGCACATAAATTAGTTTGTCAACTTACAGGATTCTTACATATATACATGTAAATGGCTTGCAAGTCATAAAATTTACAAACAGCAGAGCATGGTGCATGGTAACAATGTCATAGGTTTGATTCTCAGAAAATGCATGAACCAATAAACTATATACCTTGGATGCATTCTAAGTCACTATCTTGTAATAGAAATATCGTTTGGAGTTTGTAATAAATTCATAGCTTTAATCCTTATGATCTGTTTCTCTGCTGTGTTTGTAGCTGAAGAAGCTCCTCCTGGCGCCTGCTAACTCCCAGCTCAGCTATAATCAATACCCAGGTGGCAAGGCACAGAACCATGCAGCCAGCAACCAACGGATCAGACCAACACCTGCTGTTGCCAAGGTAGCTGCTCGCTGCACTTCTTGCATCAAAGGCCTGGTGTGTGCGCTCATCTGCTAGTTTCATGTAATTTTTTTGCTTTCTGATAAGCGATACAAATGGTCTAAAGCTTGATTAATTTGTGTCTGTGACGGAGGTCTCATCTAAAAGTCTGTTGCCCTTAATGACGTTCAGGACTTCTCAATGGCACCATCTCATTTCCATGAAACAAGAAAAAACAAGTGTCTTAATAGAATTAGCATTGTTGGTCTCATTGTCACAAAAACAATGATTTATTACCACAGGCACAGGCGTGTTGTAAACTAGAAGAAAAATGAGTAGTTATTTGAGGCGAATATCATGCATAATTCTCTCGTCTTCACACAAACACGCTCACACACATGCACAACTCTCTTTGAGGAGTTAATTTTCCATAATGACTTTGACTCTGTTTCTGGAGCTCTGCACATGGCAGTCTCCCAGAGGACATCGCTGTCTCCTCCTGCTGCCTGCATGCAGATTCTTCCTGGAGCCGTCCCAAGACCTCGTAATTAAGATGATGGGCAAAGCACACTCATGTTGCCTTTTGGGAGACTAAACCACCTCTGCACTAACCCCCTGTTCTAATCTACCTATGTTACCAGTGTCCCCTGTTACATGCCATACTCATTCTCTGTGTCTCTGATTCCTGTTGTTTAGACAGAAAACCCCTGGAACAGCAAACCACGTGGGGCCTGTCCCAACCGGTCCATGAGACGCCCTTGCACTGAGCTGCTCAAGTACCTCACCTCCAGTGACGAGGCCTTCCAGACCAAAGCCAGGGAAGCCAAGAGCACCTGGACAGGTTGTGGCAAGGACAGGGGAGGGGCTTGCACCTCTTCCTGCTCATCTTCTTCCTCTCCATCGTCTTCGTCCACCTCCTCTTTCTCGTCTCTGTCGTCCTGCTCCTCTTCCACCGCCTCCAAAAAGAAGACGTCCTCTGCCTCCCCATCATCACAGCAGCAGCAGCACCAGCAGCAGCAGCAGCAGCAGCAGCAGCAGCTGGCATTGCAGGCCCAGCGAGGTGAGAGCCAGGCAGCCAGCACGTGTAGTGTGGCTGGTGAGGGGGCGGGGAAGTGGCGGCGGTGTACTCAAGGGGAGCAATCCGCCCCCGTTGTGCTGTCCCGTGGAGGCGGCTGTGGCCATGCTTGCTCCGGCGAAGAGGGGAGGCTGCCGGGCCTGCAGCCAGCTGTTGACCCAGGCAGCCTGGCCGCTGCCCGCTTTATTAGGTACATGCACTCTTACTCTCTCCCGCCTAGAGAGACGGGTCATGCAGGCAGCTGTGGTCATTGCCTTGAGGCAGGCGGCTTGGCTGAGGCTGGCCGTGCTAATAGGCACATCACGGTGACCATTAGGAAAAGGAGACAAGAGCTAGAGCACCCTATGCTCAGTCAGATGCTCACCTCCCGGCCCAGGCCAGCCCGTTACCGGGCTCACCTGCAGATGCCCAGTGTCCCCCAGAATCATAGGCGAGACCTACCAGACTTGGCTCCTAGAGTCCCAGAGAGCCACGGACACTTAGAGCAAGCTAGCCGTGATCACCTTAGAAAGACACCTAGCTTAGATAAACAAACGTTTAGTGTAGTGGCAGACCAGAGTGATCTTAAGGTTTCAACCGGGCTTAAATTAGACCTAGAGAGCTGGTTAAGCATGCCAGAACAGGTGACAGGAGACCGCTTGCATGATCTGGTTGGCCAAACTGGGGAAGATGTTGTTGAATATGTCATAGGCAGCCCCATGTCATTCTCACAGGGCCTGCCAAGCCCATTGTTCCCAGACTCTTTAGTTCCAGAGCACACGCCCTCCGACTCACAAAAACAGGCCCTCCGCAGGCACCTTGATGACCAAGTCCCACCAATGTTAGGTAATCATTGCTGCATCCCTGCCCTCTCTCCTTTCCCTCTCCTCCTTTAACTGCTTCCCAGTTTGACCACACACTAACCCCAGCACTAACACAAACCTAACATTTACTTGGGAGCAAAAGCAAAAGCAGACAGACACACAATTCCCTCCAAAGGACAAACCTCTGAATTGGCACAGACCCTTGTCTGTAGATTAATTATAAATGAAAGACGAGGTAACACTTTAAACCATCACGTGCCCAATTTCAAACTCAGATCTGTGCTGAAAAGCTTCTTTGTCAGGCTGCCGTAATATAGCTGTCTAACTGAGAGATACTCCCTAGCTGCAGTTGGAGACGGTCGCAGCCTCAGGCAACTGCACACGCTTCCTTGACTCTTCTTTCTTCCTCTGCTTTGGTTTCAATTGCATGCAAAATATCCTCTTTTTAGACATAACTTTAGCAGTATTTGTGCCATTCTTTTTCATGTCATAGTCTGTTTGTTTGTTTTTTTACGTTTTTGGAATGTGGTGGAACTTGTTTGATGGGCCGAGACACTGAACACATGCCATCACTCCATCCTGCCTCACAAAGTATACAGTCAGATAAAGACAAAAACTATGGGGTCAAGTTAATTCAAGTATTCGGTTTTTCCTCCAAATTTCTGGCTAGAGAGCCTTTCAGTGCAGGGTTGGATTTGCAACATCTTTGCTGTCACTGATTGACTGATTGAGATATTTAGTTGTAGATGTGGACCTGAAATATCGTGGGCACAGTGTGAACTAGTAAATTAATTACCCATGCTCCTTTGTGTTCTGCAGCCAAACCAACCATCTTGCCACTTCCTTTGACCCCAGAGTCTCCAAAGTAAGTGAGAGAGTTTTTACACAACTTTTGTAGAGCAGACTGAACTCTGAACAATCTGAACAAAAAAAAAAAAAGATGAGGCATTTTGTTAATTTCATTTCCATTTGTAAGTTCACACAAACATTTTCAGCACTCCATTCATGTTCTCATAATTGTTTTCCCTTTGTGTTGCAGTGACCACAAGGGATCTCCGTTTGAGAACAAAACCATTGAACGCACATTGAGTGTGGAGATCTGTGGAACCCCAGGTAAACAAACACAAGGTCTTTGCTCATAACCAAGAAAATGAAAATTGTACCAAAGATCCCCTCCCTCTTTCCTCCATTTTTTTCTGATTGTTAGTCTGATTGTTAATCTATCATTTACTTGTAAAGATAAAACTTATTTGGCCAAAGGCAGACTGTCCAACAAGCCTACTTTGATAGTTTAATCAAAGCAAAGGGTTCAAGGTGGACTGATGGAACATGGTCAGAATTTTACACAGTCCTCCATTGATTACTTTTTTTCATTCTTTGTGTGATTTATTGGAAAGTTTCACTCTTCCCTTTTCAACAGTTAGTATTCTCTCTTTCTCATTTAGACTCTAATGCTTTTTAACTGGCCTGCTCACTGCTTAAATACATCAGAGATACATTTTTGTGTTGTTGTTATTATTATTGTTTTAATTGGTTTTGCCATGCAATTTGGGTTTGCCAATATTATCAGTATCTTTTTTTTTTTTTTTTTTTTTTTTTTAGAAAGTGAGAGTCTGGCAATTTGATTAGGGACATTAAGGTAATTTCCTGTTAATTCTGCTATTTATGAAAATGGCCCATTTGTGAAATTGAGCCAAAGCATTTTTTTATGTAATTGAAAGGATATATATGTGCGTGTGCTTGCATGTGCGTGTATTTTTTCCATATATAGTATATATTTTAAAACGCGTTGGTGTTGACCAAAGGTAATTATACCCAGACGAAGTTTATGTCAGCTGGGGCTGAAACACAACTCTTCAGCAGTTCTCCCCTTTTTCACTTTCTTTCTCTCAGCATAAATCATGCAGGTAATTATTTCTGTATCCCCCATGCAGAGATTAATCATTCTAGGTCAATAAAAACAAAATGGCTGCCCTTTCCCTCTCAAAATGTGTCATGGTGAATGGGCAATTTGATATTCTCTTATTACAAGGTACTGTAATGGCCCTCAGTGTACAGATTTGACCTAGCCGGAGGGTACAATGTAACTCTATGTTTGGTGTAGTTGCTCAAACGTGGATTGCCATAAATGTTTATAGGAACTACATTTTATGATTTTTTTTTTTTTTTTGCCGATCCCCTCTTACACATTTCAGATTTAGGATTCGGTACTATTTTAAATTAGGAAAGGGAGGGAAAGTGCTTTGAAGTTGAAGTTCTCTGATGAGGATAGGTTTACATTCTCCTAATGTCTGCTTATAGACTACCTTAAGCCCTTCATACTCACATGTGTTTACTGATGATCATACCAGATTAACTGATTACAAGTCAGCGTAAAGCCGGATGAGACTCTGAAGTCATACAATAAATAAAATTTCCGTTGAGGTGTGTGTCATCATGACAGCGGTGTGAGAATCCATATTTATGGAGCTGTTGAATTAGAAAATGTCCAGGTGTTTCACTGCGGGACACCCGCGGAATAGCCAGCACTATGAAAGTGGCAGATTTAATACCATTCCCTAATCCCCATTCCTCTAATAGATTAACTTGAGCGGGGGTTCCTTTAATTATGGTATCATATGACACCCAGGTCAGTCTGTGTTGCACTCCTTGTGTGGCATTTTAAGATTACCACAGGGATCAGTTCTGTAAGCTTTAAGTAATAATTCGTTCAGAGGTCCCCGCGTAATTCACACCCTGCCAGAAACAGACGAGAGAACCCACCGGTATATGATTAGTGTTTGTATCTGTGTGCATTCATCATGGCTGCCTTGAACTGAACAGCACATATTTATGTAATGCTATGTAATGTAATTTATGTAATGTAATGTAAAGGCGATAATGGTCCTTGGTTTATGACCCTGCATGCATTGTTTTACCCAGATGGTGTTTGATTGGTGCAGCAGAAGTTCCATTGGCAGTGCATGCTTTCTTTTCATAGCTCATTGCATTGGCATAATGATACATTTAGTCAAGGCCACTGTTGTTTTGTATGCCGTGATTGACATAGACTGATAAAGAAAGAAAAGGAGAGATGGGTATTTTTTTTCAGGATATGGTCGTAAAATATTTAGGTTGATGCACTGAAAGCTGTTTTTAATCAAAACAAATAATGTATAGAAATACGAAAACAGAAATCAGGAGAGGTGTTGAAATAGAAAGAGAGAACGAGAAGTAGAGAAAAATAAAGAGGAACTACCTCGGGTTGCTTGTGCAAGTGCATTATCCATGCCATAAAGCAACACATCTCAAGACTTCCCATATAAATGCCATCTGTTGGCACATAAATCTGTCAAGATGGCTGGGGTTCATGAGCAGAAAAGGTGGCAAAGATGAAGAGAATGATAACAGCTCCTGCATCACTGTGCTTTCATCAGACTCCCAGGAGGGTGGCATTCATGCATCTGTCGAAAGCACCGGTGTTGTTATGAGATCAGGCTCTTTACTTTCTAATGAATTAGGATTGTTTATGGTCTGGATGAAGTTTAATTGAGTAACTCTGTCTGTATCACAGTGCAATCTGAGGTCACATTAATCTTTCAGGGTTGCAATAAAACGTGGATAAGGATTAGGTCTAAATGAAAGGGAATATTTTAATCAGGCTCAAGTCTTTGCTCATCCAGTCAATTAAAGACAGACCAAGCACTGGTGAGGAACATGAGGGATCTCATTTGGTAAATCTTTTGCCTCTTCTTCCCTCCAGGTCTGACACCACCTACCACGCCTCCTCACAAAGCCAGTCAAGAGAACACTTTCAAACTATCACTCAAAAACAAGCTTTCTTCATGCTCTCCCTCGGCCCTGACAAGCAAAAGGCCCAGGCTGAGCAATGGGGGCTCTTGCCCTCCGCCAACCAGCGGCTCTATTCGGAAGGGCCCAGAGCAGACTGAGCTCTATGCCCAGCTGAGCAAGGCATCCTCCACAATGCCCCTAGGGGGCTTGGAGGAGCGTCGGGGCAAGCGGCCCACGCCCCGCGTCTTTGGCGATCACGACTATTGTCAGTCTACAAGCACAAAACGAGACGGCACCACCACAGCTACAGCGGTGACTGGGCCAACGGAGGGCCGGCATGTGGAATGTAAAGACTCGAACATGCCGACCTCCTCTACTTCTACATCATCATTGTCTTCCGCCACCCCTTTGTCTTCCTCTCTGGCCAGGCAGCTTCAGGGCCTTTCCCCCACTGCTCAGGAGGCTCGTCCGGACACAGATGCTCACGGACAGGACCACAAGTCCACTTCAGGCTCCAAAACGTCAGTGGATTGCAGGAAACTACTAAGGGACCAGGAGATCCGGGAAGAGCTCAACAAGCACTTTGGAAAGCCTCAGCAAGCCTTCTATAGCGGGGTTGTGGGAGAGCAAAGGGACAATCGGCCGCTGGAGGACAGTGACTCTGGGGATGAGTACCCCAGTCTTCTCAGTGACTACATGCACCCGGGTCTGCCCGACTTTGAGGACCTCGAGGTTGGCCGGGAGCGCCTGTTCTACTTGGGGGAAGGTTCTCCACTCGAGCTGCTCCTCGAAGGGTCGCCCTCCAGCTCCCCTTCCAGCAGTTCATTCTCATGGAGCTCTGTCTCACCTCCTTCCACTCAGCTGTCCCCACAGCACCCCCGCTGGCCACGCTCCATCTCTCGGACCCGTTTCTCATCTCACAACAGGAACAGATCCCTCTCCAGGTCTCCGTATTCCCGCTCGGAGTCTCCCGACAGCCGTTCTCCCTCTTGGTAAGTTCTTGTGTGTCTCAGAAACGCGTTTACCTAGCAATCTTTTTGGACACAAATCCACATATCTCGGCAGGAGGGGCTGTGAAGAATGTAAACATCTTTCTGTGGCTGTCATTGCAATAAAGCGACAGTCTGGGTCTCACAGCATGGACACTGAAGTCATTACGGCTGATTTTGCACAACCAGAGAAAAATTATGTTCAGTATACAATAAGCTTTGGCTTTGAGAGACGCAATATAAAATGAGCTTGGAAGATAAACAGTATCTTAGATGGTAAATTGCTCATCTACACACTTGGAATGTTCTTGATGTTACACTAAATGAGGCATTGCAAACCTGAGTTTAGACATTCCCTCACCATTATCGTGATACAGTGACTTTTCATAAATTGCAGACTTCACAGGAGATTTGAAGTTTCATTTCACTTATCATTCGCAAGCGGTGCAGATGACAAATAGAGTCCAGCAGAGTCATTTCTTGGGCAAACAACTTGGGAGACTTATGGAAGTCTCACATTGTTTCCTCAATGGGCCTTACACCCTTTAGCTTGAATTTTAGATTAATTTCTCTCCAGCACTCTTTGATGGGGCTCTGTTGTTTTTAGTAGCAGCTGTTGTTTTGCTCAACAGCGTTGCCCGCTCCATCCCCGCGAGATGAAAGAAATGCCCAGTAAGTGATGTTCTGGACACTCTAAAGTGGGTTACATCTAGATAGCATGCCAGCAAGACAATATTTACAGTGCCTCCTTTTGATATGTGTGTGTGTATGTATATACAGTATGTTTAGTAACACATGATAAAGTGATTGTACTGATAAAGGAGAAATGAAAACCGCTTTTTTTAATATCTAGTGACATTGCCATAGTTCATGTTTACAAGCTATTGGAACTTAAAGGATTAGTTCTTTAAGCTGATAATTTACTCACCCCCATGTCATCCAAGATGTCCATGTCTTTCTTTCCTCAGTCGAAAATAAATTAAGGTTTTTGATGAAAACATATCAGGATTTTTCTCCATATAATGGACTTCAATGGGAACCAGACGGTCCAAGGTCCAAAAGACAGTTAATAACAGTTTCAGATGCAGCTTCAAATGTCTTTAAACGACACCAGACAATTAATAAGGGTCTTATCATGCGAAAAGATCGGTTATTTCAAAACTTATTCCAAATGTAACTTTTCTAAGGACAAATGCTAGCCTTGCTCTATTCTGTGAGGCGCGTTTGTAACGTCACGTAATACGTAATTACGTTCAAAAGGTCACGAGCGACATAGCCGGAAGTACAGAGTCAGTGTTTACAAGTTGAACGCATAGGTTGAACGTGCAAACTAACTCAAACGACGTTTACAAAAAAAAGGAATTAAAAGGTAAAACGACGATGTCGGACGATTTTGATTCTGTACTTCCGGCTACGTCGCCCGTGACCTTTTGAACGTAATTACGTATTACGTGACGTTACAAACACGCCTCACAGAATAGAGCAAGGCTAGCATTTGTCCTTAGAAAAGTTACATTTTTGAATAAGTTTTGAAATAACCAATCGTTTCGCATGATAAGACCCTTATTCATCATCTGGTGTCGTTTAAAGACATTTGAAGCTGCATCTGAAACTGTTATTAACTGTCTTTTGGACCTTGGACCGTCTGGTTCCCATTGAAGTCCATTATATGCAGAAAAATCCTGGAATGTTTTCATCAAAAACCTTAATTTCTTTTCGACTGAGGAAAGAAAGACATGGACATCTTGGATGACATGGGGGTGAGTAAATTATCAGCAAAAGTTTTTTCAAAAGTGAACTAACCCTTTAATGGCCTATAGCTAAACAGTTTCTCATTACCATTGTTTTCCCCTTTTTTTATTCCAACGTTCCCCCTTTATTTCCCTTTTTTACTCCCTTTATGCCTGTTACTTAAAGTTACACTATATACTGTATAGATTTAACTTGTATCAGTAAAGAACGTGTTCAGTTTAAGACTAAGGTACAATTTTATTTATTTTTTTGTCTGCTCATACACAGGTCTCCTCACAATATGGACGATAGCACTTTTATTCCCAGGATTTGTAGAAGCCCTCGGTCCCAGTCTAATTCTATTTTTGGTCGGAGACCTAGGTAAGTGCTTTTTTTCACTCTTTAATAAACTGTATAAATGAATGATGTGACACTTATACTAGAAAAAAAATGCGTATATGCTGATATTAAAGACCTGTACATGAGACATACAGTACGTAAATAAGTGCTGGAAGATAATGTACTGTGTCTGCAATACTTTCAGAGTCTGTCCTTATGCAAAGGAAGCAAGTCACTTGCTGACTCTTGTCTAATTGATATGATGAGTTATCATGATACATCATTTCAAGGCCTTAACTTTTCAAACTTTTACAATAAAGCTTTCGTTGGCAAGAGCAGCTTGCATTAGGGACCCACTAACTCCCAGCTACACCTTTTCCCTGATGGTGCTGTTGTCCTCTCATATTGTGCTTTTACACCATGTTGCCTCTTTTGCAAATGGCTGTAGAAAAAAAAGTTGCACTTTTTGGACGTAAAGTTCAAACTAAGCAAAAAGTAATGGCATGTGAAGTTGTGCTGACAGACACAGCTGCCAAATTTCCACCATATTCCCTTAAGAATCTCGCCATTGGGAGCTGTAACCTTTTGCGATGTAATGAGACATCTTATTAATGTGTTTGTTTGTCTTCCACGCTAAGAAGAATGGAAAGCAGTCTGCTCTGAGCTAGCTGATTCCCAATGCCACTTGAGGAAAACAGCAAACAATACATCTATGTACTCAGAAAAATGTTATTGCTCAGAGGTTGCTCTTTCACAGCTCAGAAAACTTAATTGAGTTCTCCATTATATTTAAGTGTCTTCAACAGTTCCTTTGAAAAAAAAAAATCAAACAAAAGAGTTTAATTTCAGTAACTAAAAAGGTGAAAGCAATATATTATATAGACTCATTACATGCAAAGTGAGCTATTTCAAGTGTTTATTTGTTAGAATGTTGATTATGGCTTATTTTTCGAGTTTCACCTTTATATGACAAGAAGTAGAATGTCTATTTAATCCCATCTTGGAGAAACAATTTAAATGCTAAAGATAATCTCTTTATATTTCTTATAGTTGTGTGTTTATTTTTAAATGGAATGTTTTGTCCTTTTCAACTACAGGTACGACAGCTATGAGGAATACCAGCACGAGCGTCTGAAGCAGGAAGAGTTCCGACGTGACTATGAGAAACGGGAATGCGAGAGAGCCGAGCAGAGGGAGAGACAACGGCAAAAAGCAATAGTAAGTACACCCTCTTCGGTATTTTATTAAATTATAGGATGTTTTTTTCTGCTATGGACACATTTATATCCCTGGAGTCGTTTTTTTTATTAAAACCTAAAGGTTTGAAATTGTGTTGTTTTTTTATGTTATATAAAGGACATATAAAACTTTCTTGAAAACTATCACTCTGCCTTAATGATTTACTTTTATATTTCTTTCAAATGCCTTTTATCCATAGATTTTCAATTAAAATTCATCATACAAATATTAATTAAAAAACATTGACAATACTGTTTAGATTGAAAAAATGATAATCTACATTTGAGTGAAATCATAATAATAATAACGAAAAACATAGTTAATTATTGAAGAAATTGTGCATAATTTACAAGATTTAATTAAATGTGTTATCCAAAAAAATCCATTCCAAAATGCTATTAAATACAAAAATATGATTTTAAATGTGATGGTTTTGACTCTGTGATTAAAATATTTCAACGAACATTTTAAATATCTGTCCACTGTTGGACAATTTAAACAAACTGTCCACAGGGCCAAACATACCCATAGTTGACGAAAACCCTATTATGCTTGGAGGTGTTTTTCAGTTGTGGTCTCTCTCCTTCTGGCAAGAATCGTACATTAGCCCAGACGTTTATCCTTCTCTCAAGCTTTCTCTTCCTCCGTCACTGTGTATGCCTACAGAAAGCTCGAAGCACACAGCCATCCCAGCGCGCGCACGCTCTCTCTCTCACTCAAAAAGTGAACTCATGCAAAGACTGCACTCTGAATCATTCAGGCTACACGCGTTTCCTCTTTATCTCCCAGTTGTGTATTTTTAACATCTCTGTGGTGTTTCCGAATGGTGCCGGATTCAATTAATCACACCACGGGCTAAATGCTTTCGACCAGACAATCGAGGGAAAAGTCGAAATAAGATTTCCCGAATCAAAGGTATGTTAATATGTGGGCTCAAAATGAGCCGTTTAATTTCTAACACTTACATATTTGAAATGCAGTTCTCTGAGATGAAATATCAGTTTTGTTCTCTCTCGCTGTGCCTGACCAGACTGTGAAATGAGACGGCTTTCCAACTCAGTTCACTGATAAATGCACACGTCAAATAATGCACGCATGACTCGGCCCTGCGTACGTTTTTTTTTCTTTTTTTTTCTCTTTTTTCTTCGTCTTCTGCGGCAGCAAGACAATTACTAGCGGCGGCGGCTGAGCTGTCAGAAGAGGTTTTGGGGGGGCAAAGGATGTGAGAGCTTCATATGAAGCGCTAGTCTCAGGGTGTCATCTTTAAAACCTCTCCACATTTATCAGCTGTCAGCAACAAAACCACCAATTCAGCAAACACTTTTGTCTCCTATTGTACATGATGGAAATGTGAGGGGAGCTTCAGAGGAAATGCAAAAAAGAAAGCCTTCTCCCAGGTGTTCTAGCTAATTTGTAGGTTTTTGTTGTAGCTGTCGTTGTTGTTGTGACACGGTGACATCATGTACACAGGTGAATTATGACTCTGTTATGGGGCAATAGATACTAATCATAATTTTATGTATGACTTACAAGAGACCTCAGGTTATTGTTGAGGATCATAAGTATATTTTGTCACACATAATGGCAGGTACATGAACAAATGAATAAGTAATGCCACGTAATAAGGCCTGAGGCTTGTGCTTTGTCTCGAGATTAGCAAACTAAATTAATACCACCGTTTTATATATTCAGCCTGATAGGGTCTTTACATTTTCTCAATCTATGTGTTCTTTTGCTTCAATGAATAATGGAACAAAGTCTTATTAGCCTTTAGCTAAAATTGATGATAAAACTTGACTGTACATCATTTCTATTTTAATGCGACTAGTTGCTTGGCAACTCCCTACATTTAGGCATCTTATTTGGATAAAAAAGAACTAATTATTAGTAAATGTTTTGTTCATCACAATGCTGTATCTTAGTGACAGTCTTAGTATTTTCTACGGTGGCCCAGAAGAACACAACGAAATTAAGCCACAACACAATGAAATGAATCCACAACACAACGGAAAAAATGTACAGCGCAACGGAAATAAGCCACGACACAACGGAAAATGTACAACACACTGGAAATGAGCCACAACACAATGGAAAGAAATGTACAACACAACGGAAATAAGCCACAACACAGCGGAAAATGTAGACTACAACACAACGAAATAAAGCCGCAACAGAAATGAAATGCTCCCGACCACTAGAGGGCTCTCGGAGCGCGGTAAAGTTCGTTTTCCTTGCCATTGTTCTATAGAGTCAGCAATCTTAATATATCAATACCACGATTAGTTTTACTGGGCCACCACAATTATCACATAATCTATCTGTGAGAGGGCTGAGCGAGGGCTTTACCCCCATCTAGCGGTGAAAAGGTACATGACCATCCAATGAATAATAGTTTCTGTTCCTCTCAATTCCGATTTCGTTTTAACTCCTACGGTGGCCAATGTAGTCCAAGACTAAAATGGCTTCCAGTTCGACCTCGTCCATGAGTGTTAACTCAAACGTAAACGCGAAAGGCGAAGCTTGAATTAACGGGCATGTCCCTCTTTGGCTAATGTACTTTCAAGATGGAGGGGCAACATGGCGACCCCTTACCCGTATGTATTTTCAATGGCATATTATACACTCACAAGAATACTTTATTATTGAAGAAGTAAATATACATTAATGAGAACATATATTTTTGAAAGAACTAAGTGTTTTTTAGCTAAGAATAAACTAAAAGAGTTACACAGTGTAGCTTTAAATATTCACAGTATATTTATGATCATTTTGGTGGTAGTGTAAAATAAGTAACATTGCAAATATGACAATGGGCCAATCAAAGTGTCGGTTTGACTTCAGCTTCCAATGATTAAGAAAACACAATAATCCAGATAAAATAATATAGTGTAATATTGTACACATTCCATACAGTGGTGCACTTTCGCTCGTTCTTAACAGCCCAAACTTATTGTGCAAATCAGTCAAATCATGTAACATGACTTTCGTAAAATGTAGTCTACTGCGGGACCTGCTTGATATTAAAACAAAGTGTGCTGGTTCCCGTGTGGCTTTCTTTATGTATATAGTATTTTGAATCTGCTCGGCAATGATGCTGTTTGGTTACAATTAAAGTGTTGAAAGCGGGGCGAGGCCGAGAGCCTTGGGAACGGAACCAGGCCGGTGAGAAGATTGCTAATGAGCGTCACCTGCACGCCACAGCGGTCTTGAGTCTCATGGAATGAGATCCGGAAGGATAAAAGGAGGAGTGACTGCAGTGCAAGACAAGAGAGGACCAGGTCTGGACTTTGTTGTGTTTTTATTAAGTTTATATCCGGCAGTCGTCTGTGAGGGGCTGTCGCTTTACTTTTGTTTTGTTGTTTGTTTATTTTGATATTAAAGTTTATGTTAAACGAAAAAAAAAAATACAAACGGCAGCCACCCCTCCACAACCAAGGGGGACGGCTGTGGGTTAGTCCGTCCCCCTGGAAAATCATACCAGCCCATCATCTTGAGCGTCAATATTGGTAGACTCCGCACAGCTGGATGGCGCTACGGATCTCCCACAGCAGCAAGAGCTCTTTGACAGTGTGTTCCTCCTGAGTTTTGGCACCAATTTAGGCTCAGGAAAGGAGTAGGCAGAATCATGCGAATGATCAACGTAAAGATTGAATCAAAATAAACAAACAACAAAACAAAAGTAAAGTGTATAAACACAATAAAAACACAACATAAAGTCCAAGTCTGGTCCTCTCTCCTCTTGCACTGCCGTCACTCCTCCTTTTATTCTTCCAGATCTCCGTCTGTGAGACTCAAGACCGGCTCATTTGTAATCACGACACAGACCTCGCTCCGTTCCCACGGCTATCGGCCCCGCCCTGCTTGCCACAGAAAGGTACCCTTTAAACTGTTTAATAAAAACATAAATATCAAGATATATATTGAATCTATCTCAAAAAGAATGAAAGCTTTTTTTAGCTGTATCACCCAGCTTTTGTTACTCACAAATCAGAGTGAAAAAGATAAAGGAGAGTCCTCCAGCTATTTTCTCCAGACGGTTCTTGGCTTTCCCACAGTGGTGGATGTTAATTACAGTCATGGGGTGAGGTTGAGAAAAGTCAAGGAGAGGGGGAAGAGGGAAAAAAAAGTAGCAGAAGCACTATGTTAGACTAATCTCTTCTCTCTCATTCCCTTTATGACCAGGAGGAGAGGCGAGTGGTGTATGTGGGACGTCTTCGTGCCAACAGCACACGCACAGAGCTCAAACGCCGCTTTGAAGTCTTCGGCGAAATTGAGGAGTGCACAGTCAACTTGAGACATGATGGGTAAGACCGTGGGCCTGTGTCTGTGTGTTTTTGTGGATCGCGTGTGTCAAATGTTTAAAAGGAGTCAATATTATCTTTCAGCATAAAAGGAATCTTCTAAATCTAGTTAATGATGTACTTGTGGCCATTGGACGGTGATTAGGAGAGCAGACTTAACTGCTTCTCATTGCACATGCATCTGTCACAGACAGCACAGGCGTGTTTGAATACAAGTAGGATTATACTGAAACAAAAAGCAAGATGTCTCATATTTACTGATTCCAATTTTGCATTTTGAATGGGGAATGAAGGATGAGTACGCTTTGCGTTGCGCTCTCGTCGTCTGACGCTTCGTTTTCTATTTTTCAACCCAGAGACAACTTTGGCTTCATCACCTACCGCTACACTTGTGATGCGCTCGCTGCCCTTGAGAATGGACACACCTTGCGCAGGTCGAATGAGCCTCACTTTGAGCTCTGCCTTGGTGGACAAAAGCAGTACAGTAAATCGAATTACACAGACTTAGGTAAGTACACAGCCTGGCTGCTGTTTTTTTTTTTTTAACAGCTGATTAGAGACGCTACTTATAAAAAACGCTGCCTTAAAGGAGTAGTTCACAGTAATTTACTCACCCCCAAATCATCCAAGATGTCTTTCTTCAGTCGAAAAGAAATTAAGGTTTTTGATGAAAACATCCCAGGATTTTCGCCATATAATGGACTTCAATGGGAACCAAACAGTTCAAGATCCAACTGAGTTTCATTGCAGCTGTAAAGGGCTTTAAATGACACCGGACGATGAAGAAGGGTCTTATCTAGGGAAACGATCGGTCATTTAAAAAATAAAAGTTAAAAAGTTTACGTTTTATAAGCACAAATGCTCACCTTGCTCTGTTCTGTGATGAGCGTTCGTGACTCTCCTGTTCAAAATCGTTCATCAAAATGAACAAATGAAGAGTTCAGATGCAAAAGCCTCTAAATGCCATTTGAAATTTTCTTCTAAAATGATCATTTTTATCAAGATTGTATATTTAAGTTCAGTAATTTCACTTAAATGGCAATGAAGATTACCTATTAATTGTCATTTAAGTGAAATTACTGAACTTAAATATACAAGCTTGATAAAAATGGTCATTTTAGAAGAAAATTTCAAATGGCATTTAGAGGCTTTTGCATCTGAACTCTTCAAATCTTTTTTCGAGTCGTGACTCGAAGGGTCCTAGATAAGACCCTTATTCATCGTCTGGTGTCATTTAGAGCCATTTGAAGCTGCACTGAAATTCTCATTTGGACCTTGAACCGTTTGGTTCCCAATGAAGTCCATTATATGGAGAAAATGCTGAAATGTTTTCATCAAAAACCTTAATTTCTTTTCGACTGAAGAAAGAAAGACATGGACATTAGAGTTGGGTATCGTTTGAATTTGAACGATTCTGATTCCGATTCCTTGTTTCGATTCCGGTTCCTAAAGATTCTCGATTCTGATTCTTTTAAGAGGCAGGGTCAAAAAAGTTTAGCTAACCTTGCTAACCAACGGTCTTTCTGAAGGAAATACTCCTTTCTGAAGGAAATCCTCCTTCTGTCACAAATTCTCCTTTTGTCACAAATTTTGCATTTTGCTGAGATTTCATTATTTTTATAAAAGTGAAGTCACACTTTGGACTGCCGACGTAAGCTACTCATGTTCGACTCGCGCGGTTATGCCAACACTTCCGGTAGACGCTTCTTCCTTGGTGTTGTTCAGCGGTTTCTTCTTCCGCTCGGCGGACTGTGAATATCAAAACTAGGAATCGAAATTTTAACTTTTGAACGATTCCGGGAAAAACGAAAAGTTAGTCCCGGTTCCAATCGATACTCGATTCTCGATACCCAACCCTAATGGACATCTTGGATGACATGGGGGTGAGTAAATGATCAGCATTTTTTTTTTTTAAAGTGAACTACTCCTTTCATACAGAAAGAAAAGAAATAGTCAACAACAGCAATATTATATTATATTATAGTATATTTAAGTTCTATGCACTAACATTTAAATGTAATCATTTTATACAATGCGCAATTGTGAACATAGATGTCTTTACATTGTACTTGTACAACTAATATAATAAGCTGATAGCTGATAAGTAATTTATAAATAGTCCCTGTCCGATCCCGATGCATTTCTTTCTTTCACTTTCATCCCATCTCTTCCTCACACAATACCTAAAGGCTTTTAAAACAGCATGCCCTTCTTTTCATATGCACCATGCCCAAGGTGACAATCTAGATCAGATTGATGGATCTGTGAGCGACAAATTCCTTTGTAAAATGTTATGGGGCTTTTTCCTACCCATGATGCCTATGATATGGATGTGTCTGTAATAGGGCAATATCATCTCCACCCAAAGGGGAAAGTGTCTTTTGGGGGAAGGGAAGAGATTCAGAAGGAGGCAAAAGAATCGAATCCTAAGGGCAGCGCCTTTACATGTTGGTGAATTCTGCTCTGTGCAGCCATGCAACATGAGACCATTACTTCCTGTTTTAACAGCATGCACTTCAATATTTACTCAATGCTCCACACATTTATTTTCTGCAAAATGTGAGGTCAGGGACGTGTAATGGTCGGGACGTTGGGATGATCCGTCTCAGTGGCGTTGATGGTGCTGCAGGTCAATGGAAAGGAACAAGAGCACTTTCCCTCAAATAATGGGGACATTACCTTATATTTCAAAGGCTCAGGGTAAGGCCAAAGATTGTGGACATAATACACTCTCCAAAAGCGTGGAAGCTTCGGTTAAGGGCCATATAGCAGAATCATTGTATTTGGGATTGTACCCCCCTCCTCGGGGCAGATGTATGAGTTGACCTTCATTTTCTTGAAGCCTTTCGCTAGATACACGGTTTTACGGTGAGTGTAGGCTGAAGCGCAGCGACGGGTTCAGATGAAGAGGGAATGGCGGGAAAAGAGAGAAGTGACTTGAATAGCACGCCACAATACCCCGAGAACGTTCCTCTCAATCTTCTGCCTTTCTCTTCCTCTTTCCTCCTTGTTTTCCGAGACACCGCCCATTAGTTCGAAGTAGAGCGCAGGGGCATTTTTCATCTTTCAAGGTGCGCTGCATGACACCATTCTCCCCTTAGCCATAGCATTAGATCACGACTGGCATCTCCTGCATGCCACGGTCATTCCCATTTCTCACGTGCTTCGACTTTGCCGCTGTGCATATGAGGGCACCATTTGTGAAGCTGTCTTCTACTAGAGATAAGACAGCCGTATTTGTTATCCTGGTCACAAATCAAACCGTATGTCTAATGGCCGTTCGGCTCTCGTCTTCGGGAAGTTACTACTGACTGTTTAATAATTAAACTGGGCGGTTCAAGACAATTGATGATTGTATTACAGGAAAGGTTGAGAGAGAAGCCTAGAAGACTGATTTTCTGTGGTCTAAATGGATGACCCCTGCTTTTTAGCGTAAAATATAGAATATTTCATAATATTAACCCACAGTGACGAATAAATCTCCACGATTAAGAAAAGGATTAAACGAGATAAAGAGAACTATTTTAAAGTTTAATACACGTGCCAAGTTCATAGAGATGTATTTGTTGTGTTCAAAAAAAAAATTACATTTTATGTTTTTTAAAATGTTCCTTATTTATATTCAAAATGTTGTTGTCAAAGATTATGAATTGTTCATTCATATGTAAATAATAATAAAAGTATTTATATGATATCTTGACAGTTGTACAACACTGACTTTTTTAACCCTCAGGTGCTCTTAGTTTCGGAGTCACACTTGTTATCTTCCCGGTCAAAAGTGACCGGACACCTAAAAATTTAATTTCCTCCATCCCATTAAAACCAATGCAATTTATTTTTGTTCTATAATATTTATTCTTTGTAATTAAGTATTTTGAGACAATTTGATTGAATTTATTAATATTTATGCAATATTTATGGTCTATTTTTGCCATGGAAATATATATATTTTCTATATTATTTTTTTTTTTTAATTATTAATGACCCCTGCTTTTTAGCGTAAAATATAGAATATTTCATAATATTAACCCACAGTGACAAATAAGTCTCCACGATTAAGAAAAGGATTAAACGAGATAAAGAGAACTATTTTAAAGTTTAATACACGTGCCAAGTTCATAGAGATGTATTCGTTTTAAAATTTACATTTTATGTTTTTTAAAATGTTCCTTGTATCTTAATTCATTTTAATTATATTCAAAATGTTGTTGTCAAAGATTTTGAATTGTTCATTCATATGTAAATAATAATAAAAGTATTTATATGATATCTTGACAGTTGTACAACACTGACTTTTTTAAATATCAAATTAAAAACCCCTTTTTATCATAGAACTGGACACATAATGAAATTATTTGTCTAACAACAATTGCTCACACAATGTGATCCCATTTTGCCACATAGTAATGCCAAAAAAAGGGGGATAAGTTGAAATTATGTATTAGTACTAATCAATCATGAGATAAAATGTTAAAAATTCTGACAAAGTTATGAAATGGAAATGCACTACTGTTACATAAAAAGTCATAATTCTGCGACATTTCATTTTCATAATTGACATAAGATGTCAACATTATGAGTTAAAAATTCATAATTATGACAGTCGAAATTGACAGACATCATTTTTGACATAAACATTTATAGATAAAAAAATCAATTATGAGATTAAATTCATAATTGGCATAAAAATTCATAATTATGACAAAAAGACAAAGTCATTATGACAGGTCGTCATAATCATGATTTACCAAGCACTTTTTTTTTTTAATGTATGTGACGAAAAGTTGGCTTCCATACAAAGGAGCTCTAACAACACCTTTAAAAAAACGAGGCCATTTTCCACAGATGTTCAAACGTGCCATTTTCTCCTTTCAGATTCCCATTCTGATGACTTTGATCCAGCCTCCACTAAAAGCAAGTACGACTCCATGGATTTTGACAGCTTGTTGCGAGAGGCCCAGTATAGCCTGAGAAGGTAATGAGCACCACTGCACCGGCTGGCTGCAAACAGAGGGATTTGCAATACCTCACTGTTGTTTCTGTTCTTTGAATACAAGACTAAAGACGTTTTACACTCACCACTGTAAGTGGAAAGAGTATACGTGGACGATAAAGTTCTACGTATATGAAGGGATATACGCGTTTATCTGCAAGCAAAGTTTACATGAACCTAGCTGCTGCGAAGCTGAGGAGAGACACTGCCTGAAGTAGCGCACACTACTTTAGCGGACTACACAGATCCGTGTGCGGCGCGAGGCTCCGTTAGAGACACGAATCTTCATCAGAGCTCGCTTCACACGCGCATCGCCCTCGGCACTTTGAAAGGGGAAAATTGCAGCTCGTTCAGTCTGTTTTTATTGTTTGGAGTTTATTTTTGTGGGCTTTTTCTGTTCCTTTTTTAATCTGGGTGTTTGGATGTGGTGTTACATTATCGAGAAGGGTTTGGGGAAATCTCTTGGATGTTCAAGGTAACATTGTCTACATTTATTGAGGGGGGGGGGGGAGATGTAGTCGCCTATTTACAAAAGGAATATTTTTATTTGATGTGCATATCAGCGTTCTTTGTTTGTTACAGCTATGCACTGTAAAATGCAGCCTTTTTAAGATGAAATTTTCTTAATCAAGAATGTTGATCTGTAGTCATTATGATGATGTATAACCTACATGGCGTTTAGATGACGTGATTTGATTGTAAAAAAAAAAAAACATGTATGGAGATTTATTGCTCTTTTTGGGGGAGCATGCAACAAAATTTTGTCTGTTTTTCCTTTGGTTATTTTTATTTCATCGAAAAACTCCATGTGCAGTTTCATCCGATTTTCAAATGAATATCTCAGTGTTTTCCGTACATACATGCAGTGTAAGATAGATTTTTTCAAGAGTTTATGTTCACTACTGTGTAAAAAAATGAACCCCAAGATATTTTTTTATCCTTTATGTCTGAAGGAATCAATAGATTTTATTTGAATTTCTCTGTGCACACTAATAATTGTTATCGTTCCTGTTTGATAATACACTTTCACAGAGATGATTACTCTTCTAACACAGAATTACTCATGCTTATTTATGTATTTATCTCAGTATTCTAATCAAAATATTTATGGCAGCCATCTCACGTGATGCTCCTTACAAATTTTGCTATTTATATTATTTGTTATTCAACAATCACTGGAAAGGATGTAAATTTACAAGTTCTAAAGAAATATCGTTTTTATATGCCTTCAGAGATGGAACAAACAATATATTGTATGATCATATTCTAGGCTCATGATGAACTTTGCTGCTCCAAAACTCAAGTGATTTATTTGTTTTTCTAGCTCTAAAACATCCACCTTTTCATCTCTTTTTTTATTACATGAAGCAATAAAATAATTTTGCAGGTATTTTGTTGTACCACAGAAAATCTGTGTCTTTGCTCCACACTTTTGATTATGTGAATGCCAAACTAAAGTTTACAATTTTCTTTCCTGAATTTTTTAAAAACAAGAAAAAAAGATGTATTTGATGTAAAAAAAAAAATTATATATATATATATATATGATGATACTAATCTTGTCATTACTCACAATAACTCAAAATAATGAAAAGTAATAATGGAATATGAAAATGTGAATTTAAAAAAAAATAAATAAATAAAAAAGCAATAAATTATTTTTCAAAGCTGTATTTTAGCTCATGTTGTTGTATGGTTTTAGACATGACAAATTACCCAGACTCTGTTCAAATACGGGGGATCCATTCCAGTGCCTCAACACAGATCTTAAGAACACCGTTGGAAAGAGAAATTGGTTGTGAATGCAGCTTGTGTGTGTGTGTGTGTGTGAGAGAGAGAGAGAGAGAGAGTGTGAGCAAATTCAAGAATTCAATATAAGCAATGAAAGAAGTGGAAAAGCCAAAAATTGCATCTATGAGATTGAGTCTCTTTCCAAAGCAAGAGCAAATGAACTGTTAATAATTTGAATCACCCAAACGCAACAGGCACCTCTCACGGACACTTAAGGTAACCTTTTTTTTATGTCGATTAATAGCCCATATTAAAAGATTCACAAACCATTGCTGTCGATGTAAATGTCTGGTTTCAGAAAAATGATTTTCTGCACAGAGCTTGGGTATGGAGTCATGTCGCGTTCGATATGTGTGGCTTTAATCAGTGCAACATGTATGTTGCAAATCTGCTTTGTAAATTGCTGTAGCAATATGTTACAACACCCTGATGGGGTGTATCTTTTGGAGTGGCAGACTTTCTACTACTGAAGGATTTGCCACTGCGTTGGATGATTTTTTTTTGTGTGTGTTTCCATAAAGAAGCAGATATATCTAAACGAGGCTGTGTGTGGATTTGATAGAGTGTGCGTGTATTTCGGGTCAAGGGGACTGTGTTTGGCTGTGTTATCTTCTATTTGTCTCCTATCCATGTTGCCTTCTGCTGAGTCCTAACCAATGCCTTTGTAGTTGTACGTATTGTACAATCTTTGTTGTGGATTTTCTTTTTTATGTGTAGTTTTCATCAGCCTCACCATGCCAATAAAGGGAATTGTGTCTAATTTATTCTTATCCTCCTTTTTCTTGTACATTCAAACTAAAAGACTTTTTTTTTTTTTCCTATTGACTAAACCGAGCACCTGATACATCGCACATCATACGAACCCCTGCCGGGTGATGCTGTTTTCTGCATATCATCACTGTAAGCTGTTGAGCACATTGTTTTCAATGACTCACTTGCAGAGTCAGTTATTTTTGGCGGATGCTCGTGTTTTCGCCAACTCTGCACGACCCTGGAAAATGACTGATGATAATCCCGTGGAGCTTGTTTCTTAATTCCCATAAACTCTTTTTGACAGGTTTTGCATGTGCGTCTGAGCGAAAGCGTGCCTATAAAGGGACTGAGAGAATTTGATGGCACATCTGTCCAGATGAAACCTAATACTGTATCATTACTATTCAGCCTGTGAGTATAGGGGAGGTGAATAACCCCTTCTCTTCGTTGAGAGATGGACATTAAATTTTAAAAGAAGAGGATCCAATTGTGGATTTCTTTATTTATCTTTTTCATTAATGCTTCAGTTTAGCCTCGGAGAAAAGAGACTTCTTTCATTTTGCCGTCACAATCATCCAGGCAGGAGGTCTTTTGCAGTTTGCCCTTTTCCACACAATGAAGCTGGAAGCTCAAGAGCTTCACTTCACCTCTGTCTTTTTGTGTGATACAGGTACTTACTCTGGCAATCCATCCTTATCTTTCATTTCACACAGCCAGTTAAAAATGGCTATGTCTGCAGTTTTTGAGGGTCTTCTACCTGCTATCCTAAAATATATGACTATACATGATATATAGTGTATTCATACACTACCAGTCAAACGTCTGGTCCACGGTCATTGAAACTGAATCATATGACAACCTGCCGTATGAAAAATCTGTTTATTTTTATTTTTATATGTATATGTGTGTGTTTGTGTGCATCACATGTGGCTGTATATAGAGCGCACAAAGATGAAGAATGCAAGGATATTGTCTTTTAATTCATTAAAAATTAATACACAGGGCAGATAGATAGAGTAAAATCCACTTCAAAGATGATATTGTTAAAAGAACTGAACGAAACAGAATATATATATATACAGACTAAATGAGGCATTTACCAAATGACAGGTGAACTGAATGGTTAATCAAACACACTCGGAAACTGGGTCAAATTACAGGGACACAGGCAACCAGGAATAGAACTAAAACACAAAGAAACTAAGTCAAAACAGAACATGTATGTGAAAACTGGAGGAGGACAATGAACAGGAGAGAGACGGACAAAGTCGGGTGCAGGCAAAACAGTCCAAGGAGGAGTGGAAGGATGGAGGAGCCAGGAGCAAATTGAGCCGGATGATGACCCAGAGAAATGGGCCCAGCCAGGAAGTAGGACCACGGCCGCATCGAGGGAAGGATAGGCCATGTTGGAGAATCCTTAGACGATACGATGGTGGCGACTGATGGAGACTCAGGCAGAATGGACACTCAAGGTGACACCAGTGATCTGGAGGGCCGAGATAGAACTGCAGGCTCGCAGGACCAAGTTGGAGATGGGGGCTCGTCAGGGCAGGGCAGAGCGAGGGAAGGAAGAGCCTGACGGAGCCAGCAAGATGGTGGCAGTGGGAAACCAAAGGAGTGGAAGACCATGTTATAGTAAGGGCTGAGGGAGCCTGGTGGAGTCCGTGGACTGATGAACCCCAGTGGGGTCAGAGGGTCGAGGTGGAAACAAAGCTTCGGAGGACTGATATAGAGCCACATGGACTGAGCTGATTACTGGAAGCTCAAATGTGCATCAATCCAGCACAGCGGGGTGGATGGAGGAGTAGGGGGACTAGAGGGGAACAGCGAAAGCAGGGCCGATTCCAAGCCTGACGGAGCCAGAGAGATGGTGGGAGTGGGAAACCAAAGGAGTGGAAGAATATAGTATAGTAAGGGCTGAGGGAGCCTGGTGGAGTCCGTGGACTGATGAACCCCAGTGGGGTCAGAGGGTCGAGGTGGAATCAAAGCTTTGGAGGACTGATATAGAGCCACATGGACTGAGCTGATTACTGGAAGCTCAAATGTGCATCAATCCAGCACAGCGGGGTGGATGGAGGAGTAGGGGAGCTGGAGGGGACCAGCGAAAGCAGGGTTGCACTTTTGGTTTTGGTAAAGGAGGTGGGAGAGGAAGGCTGGATGGGGACTCTGGACACTCGGAACTGGACTGAACCAACAGAGATATAGGGGAATTGGGGCTAGGCAGCATTCTCTTTAAACTCATCCATGCCATGCCTCGAACTCCACGAGTAGTCCCACGGGAATAGTTGATGTAGCCAGCACACACACATGGTCAGACTCGGTCAGTCCATCTATGAGCAGTCTGTACTCAGGCAGGCGCGGAGAGTTCTGTCTGACCCGTCCCACATCCTTCATGCGGAGTACGAGCTCTTGCCTTCTGGCAGAAGGTTCAGAATTCCAAAAACCAAATTGAACCGTTACAAATATTCTTTTATACCCAACTCCGTCAAAATTTTAAATCAAAATTTTTAGATTGTACGAGGAGGAATGAGAAGTGTGCAATAACTTGGTGTTCTGCTTGTTGTTTTAGTATTGTATGTTATTTTATTCTCATTTATTTTTTTTAGATTTTCATTAGATGTGTCATGAGTGTGTGTGTAGTCTACATGTACGTCTTTAGCTGGTATTTGTTTTACTATGTGTATTATTGCTTGTAATGGCAGCTACTACTTTGCACCACGCACTTTGAGTCCATGACACATTTCCCCTAGGGGACAATAAAGTATACTATACTATACTCTGTTGGAGGCAAGGCTTCTCTCTCGAACCAGGCTTGGGGACTCTGTCTGTGGTGGGCTCATGCATAATCTCTATCAAATTGTGGTTGGTGGCTGCCAGTTCTCTGGGTGAGGAGCAGGGATGGGGTGTCTTCCTCGATGGGGCAGATGGTAAAAGGCGATCTGTTACACATCAGTAATACATTTCATAAACACGGCGATATTTTCCTTTGGACCATTCACTGGGAAGCATGCCATGGACTGCTAGTATAAAAGAAAACAGTTGATAACGAGTCTGGCACACCAGGTTGATAAAGTTCAGGGTATGGTCCTCTGCTATAAACAGAGTAGAACTGCAGGTAAATCTATGAGGGGGAAATTAAATCAAAAGGGGAAAAAGAAAACGCAACAAAATTAAATACTATCCGGTCTTCTGTAACAGGTGGCTGTATATTGTGTGTACAACGACAAAGAATGCAAGGATAGTCTTTTAATTCAGTAGTCCACAGGATTCAGGGCAGAAACACGGGGTAACCCACACACTTCACAAAGACAAGACCGGACAAAGATCTGAACAAAACAGGGAGCATATATACGGTACCTAGTCAACCTTCCTCTGCGATTTGTTTTCATGATAATCGAATGTAAAGAGTTTTATCTCTAAAAACGATTTAGCGTATAATGCTAGTACTGGGGCATAGAAATCGCTAGTTTATACCACTAACAAGGCTCAAAATAGCCCCACACTAACACAGTAACATACTGAGGCTCCATACATGCAAAACAAAGCATTGAGAACTTTGTAAGTGTACAGACTGTTTAATAAGAAGATACTTTATAAAGACAGTTTACTTCGTGTATACAGACAGGAGCCATCTTGGAAAACAGTCACGACAAGTCAAACCACGAACGTCGTACTGAGTGAGCTGAACTGTGTGAAGTTCAAGGAACTTCTGAACTGTATGAACGGCGTTCGGGGATCGACTTATCGAGATGTGAAAGATCACATACCTGTATTTACTTCCTATTTTCGGTCTAAGTCCACAGTAGTCGATTGTCGAGTTCGCGCGTGATCATTGGTAACTAACTCAGACTGTCAGCTATCAGCCGATGACGGTGCTGTGTGGTGTTCTGAGAATATCAGCTCAAATGGATAGTTCATCCGAATCAGATGTTGAACATCATTTAGTTACCAATGATCGCGCACAAACTCGACAATCGACTACTGTGGACTTCGACCGAAAACAGGAAGTAAATACAGGTGTGTGAGCTGGCTGAATTAACATCATTTTATTAATATCTTTCACATCTACTGCAGTCAGATTGACCGTGGTCACTCTTAACACCGTGTCCTAACTACACGCGTCGCCATAAAATTCCAGCGACAGCAAGTGTGTCTGTCCACACTAGACGCGACGCGACTGTGAGACGCCACGCATTCAGAAGAGCGTGTGAGCGGAGTCTCTCTGTGAAAGCGCACTGCTGGCCCGCACTCGCATTGGAAATGGGTAAGGACATAATCAAATCAAGAAATAACATTATTAAAAATCAAAACATTAACAAAATATACTCATTGACTAATTTTGTTATGAAGTAGGCTACAGTTGTATGTTTGCATATAATTAATTTTGAACCCTGTATTATATGCTTTCAAAATCTGAGGTAAATTATCCGTTATCGCTTGTGGCACAGTGACCTATTTTTGACTAAAAATAAATAATGTGTACTCACTCATAACTAGTGTAATTTCTTCATTCTGTCAGCCGCGACGTCGCAGAAATAGGAACCGTTTCTAAATTAGAAACTTCGCGTGTCGCCGTCGTGTCTGGTTAGGACAAAAACTCTGATTAACATGGAAAAGACACCTTTTATCGCGTGTCGTGGTGTCGCATGTAGTTAGGACACGGTGTAATAATACCACTCACATGGCTGTGCACTTGTAATGACAAATCAAGGATGTTAAGAGGCTAAAAGCAGGTTTAGAACTTGCCCCATTGAAGTCAACAGGGTACGAATTTTAAAAAGAGGATAACACGCTGTAGGCAACACCGATTTTCGACGTTTTTGTCTGTACTGACAGCACTCCAAATGTACAAAAAAATGAGCCCTAAACAAAACACAACACCTCCATCACCTGTGCTTTAGATAAAAGTCTTTTGTCACTGTACTTTGGTCAGAATAGTGGATCCCAGTAGCCTAGAAATCTAGACGCACCCTAGCGGCAGCAAAAATTATTTTGCCGCAAAGTGTGGTCT